CAAACAATAATAATAAAACATGTCCATTGGGGTAAACAAAATAATAATTTGATCTAAGTAAGAGTTTTTTTGTTTTTTTTCCAATTTGTGAAACATCCTTACATGATAGAAAAAAATAAATATTATTTTCGAAATCTGCTAGCTGAATTATGGAAAATCTGTTATTAAAACCAAAACATCTTTTATGAAGTCATAGCTTTTGTAACACCAGTAATACACTTGTATTTGTTTGATGTTTCATGTAGTTTGAGAATCCAAAACAATTTAGGTATTACAACATAGGATTTTATGGAATGCAAACAAAAGTGATAAAACTGTAAATTATAATCAGTGAATTTCATATAACAGCAGTAATTGTTACAGTTCAGAAAAATAAGCAATTTTTTTTCTTTTCAGAAACTTGTTGTCATGAACAAAGATGTTTTGGTTGCTCTTCGTTCAAATTATGACAAACCTGATCATATGAGGGAACTGTTTCGAAGATTACAGCGTGAGTATTTTACTACTGTGTTAAGTTTTATTTTTGTTTCATTGCTTATAAGGATGTAAATAATCCAAAGCTTTTTAAGTCCTGTACTGATCCCTTCCAGCATGTAACAGAACAAAATTATGAGAAGCTAATGAAATCTAACATATTAAAAGAAATGTCTAGAATTATCTTTGCTGAGTGATGTAGTGCATGGTCTAAGAAAAGTTATTAATTTCAAGACAGTTCTTGCTTTTTTAATCTATGTTTTAAGAAACTGATATAATTGTAAGAATCACTTTTAGAAATCATGTAATTTTTGCACAAGAATTTAAAAACAATAAACCTGAAACCTATAAAAATTTTTATTTTTACAATGATATATACTTACTACATATGTGTATGTATGTATATATTATTGAACTTTTCATTATTTTTAAGGCATCTAGTTATTTCAAAATATCTTCTCATGTTAAAACAGAAAAAAAATCAATAACTGTAAATTTCTGTCCATGCATTGAGATCAGGCAATGACATGTTTCATAATAAAGGCATGTACAGGGGAGTGTTCGCTATCAGTGGTAACAATACAATCATGAGTGCCTACGCCTTACTGCTGCATCATCCACCACCGGTAGCCCTGCTCATGAACTATTGGTCTGCAGCATTTTCCATTACATGAAGCTTTTTTGTAATACACTGCAGTTAGCTTTACATGCTTTCCAAAGTCCATCAACTATGCAAGGACAACAACTTCAGAGTGTCTGATCAAGCATCCCATGAGTACAGGAGTCCATGGGAGATGACTGTAGATGGTAAAACATGGATTCTAGTTTGTACTTGCATCTTGCAGAAGAGCTGGCACATTGACATGGATATGTGACTGCATGATTTGTCTTGAAGGAGCCATATCCTGTTGGAATTCTGTCCATGCAAATGTAGTATTTCCTCTAAGTATAATGGTTACAACACTTTAGCCTTATAGTATTCCACCAATATAAATCCTTTGAAAGAACTTTTGCAAACATTCTCTGGACCAATTTTGAAATGTTGCAAAATAGTAAAATGCCCAGGTACCTAAGTAAATATTGGCTTCACCCAGTAAGATGAATATGCTCCCACATGTCACATATTAGATACATTTGGCCATGTGTTTTCAGTGAAGATTATGAAGACAGCTTTTGTGTTGCCTTTGTATTAATTTTTGTTAATTATTTGTTTATAATTCCAAGGAAGATGTTTATTTTAGCTGCAAGGACCAATGTATTCTTGGATTACTTCCAATGACAAGCTATTTGTCTTTCTTCACTGCTTCTATTCAAAATAAAGACTTTCATTACAGAAGAAACTCTCCATCTGAAAAGGCTATTGCTGTGATGCTGGACATATCTCCTTGCAATCTTAACAAAATAAGTAAATATTTAAAGCTGATGATGTCTTACAACTAGAAGATTTGTAAGTTGCCAGCCACATCTTAAAATCGGAAGATTTTTCATGAAAAATGTGGCTGAAGAAACTGGAATCACAACAATTCTGTGAAGTCCCTCATTCCAGGATCATTGGGCTATTGTGCCATTTGTCTTCTTAAGCATATTCTTGGATGCCAATTCTGAAGTATATTAAAGTATCTGTGGAAAATTTTGTCAATATACATGATGTAAGATCTATTGTGCCTTCCTTCACAGAAGTTTATTTCAACAACAGCAGAAATTGTTGTTTCAAGTAATAGTGTGTAATCATGGCCACAAATTAAGCATGATTGGAGATGGAGAAGGTAGTTCCAAGAGCAACACAAAAACCTCAATCATCATTCTTACAAAGTGTGACAGAACCTTAGTATCTTATGCATAGGTTAAAGTTTTGTACTTAAACATGAGTGTCCTATGTTTAGAGTGTATGGCATGAATTGGATGAGTTACAAATTAACATATCGCATTAGCTATATTAAATTAGAATTGCACAACTTTTCTAAAGGTTTCTGGATTTGAACAGGACTTACATAAAACAAAGGTTTAAAAGCTTTAATCTTAATAATATATGCTTAGTTTCTAGTCACCTCAGATCTAAAACCATTAAAAGTGTTTTTTTGTCTCAATATCTTTTTTTTTTATTTGTACTGTAGTCTCAAAGCTTAAAATAGTAAAACTGGCTTGAATTTATATCAAACTGCATTTTACTTTAAATTTTTATACTTAACAGTTATTTTCTCTTAAGCTCATTCTTGTCACATTTCAATTTATTTTCAAATTTAGTTAAAAACTAGACCACCCATAAGCCATAATGAAGAATTCAAGCTGATTTCAATATTGCACTGAAATGAAGGTTTATTTTGAGATATTTTATTTAGATATTTCAATCCATTCATTTTATTCATAATTCAAGAAAAGATATTTGATTGTTGATGGAGAGTAAAAGGAAAGACCAATTCATTTTTCAAAAAAGTGAAGTCAGAGTTTTCAGGTATTGTTATGAACAAACCTTATTTACAGTTGATTCAAAATGCCTGAAAATAAGAAATAATAGTAATGTTATTCATGGTTTATTAGAGCGTAATTACTATAAAAAACAACAAAAAAAGCTATTTCAGAAAAACGTTTCATACTTACTTGCTCAAATTACTGCAAGAAACAGTAAAACTTGATAACTGATACACTACAAAATTCACCAAATGAAATATCTTTCTCACTGTCTCACAGCGAATGATTTTTTGACTGAGAAAATTTTCTTATTTCCTTATCCACCATAACCAAGGCACATTATTGAGAAATTCTTCAAGATCTTGTTTTTGTCATCTTATGCCTTTTAATGAAGATGGGAACATTGACAGGGAAATAGATTTGAACAAAAACGTTTCATAAAGAGCGCAAATGGTAATGTGGTGTAAAATTACTCATGCTAGAAATTTTCATAAAAGTGACCCAAAAAACAACGCTAACTCGGTAACCCATGCCTCGATTTTAACAAAACTTGTTTTATTCAGTTTTTATTCTCATTTCAGGGAGTACAGTGCTCTTACAAATATGGTGCTATTGTGTGCCGTTCTTACTGTATTTAATTACAGACAAGCAAACAAACAAACAATCTCAGAGTTATAGTAGTATATAAAAGATAGATAGATGTATGTGATACTTTTGTAAGTCTGCACAACACCTATTGCTACATTCAATAGCATGTTTGTTTTTAATTAATACTTCACAAAGCAAAAGAGCTAAATGCTACATTCAATAGCATGTTTATTTCTAATTAATACTTCACAAGGCAAAACAGCTTATGAAAATTACATTACAGTGTCGAATTCATTTTCAATGATTGACGCAGTTGGCAAAAGTATTTTAATGTAACTATGGTTTACATATCACACACTGTACATTACATTAGCTTGTATGTTGTTTAATAATAAACATCTTAAAGTTGTTGCGCTTACGTTGCCATCTTTTGACAAAATAGGGAAATGGATTTGAATGAAGAAATTTTGTAAAGAGCGTGAACGGTAGTGTGATGTAAAATTACTTATGCTAGAAATTTTCATAAAAGTAATCCAAAAAATGGCACTAACTTGGTAACCTGTGGCCCAATTTTAGCTAAACTTGTTTTTTCTGTTTCTATTCTCATTTTTTATATTCTATTAATATTTTTATTCTCATATTATGCACCTTTTTGGTGTATTTAATTACAGACAAGCAAACAATCTTAGAGTTTTAGTAGTATATAGATAAAACTTCATAAATCATTTATTTCATCATATTAGGTAGCTGTTGAAAAATTATATTTATAAGTAAAGTGTTTTTCACCTTTGTTAGGGATACTAGTTTAAGATTATAAGTTCATAAAAATATTCATCGGTAACAGAAGTTGTTGAATAAAGTTACAGAATAACTTGCATCAATAGCAAAATCAAGATATGTACATAAATAATGAATAATATATAGTTTGCAATACCAAAACAAGTTCAAAATTTATGTCTAAGTTATAAAGAAAGTGTGCTTAAATTTGAAATAAAACATTTAACTTTCAGTATAAAAAAAAAACTAACATCAAAGTTTAGGTTGCTACAGGCAAATAAACAAAGCAAAAATTCAAGCTAGCTTTTGGAGAGTACATGCATATGTTACAGAAAAGACTGATATAAAAGTGCATGTACTTTTGGATAGATTGGTTTCCCTTATCTGGGAAAAACATTATAGGAATATATTATGTAAAATATAAAAGTAAGGCTTCACTAAATCATGCTAATGAAGCAGGTAATGCTAAAGTTATATATAATTACAATAGTGCTATGTTTGAATATTAAGACCAGATATAATATATAATTTGCTCTGAAAGAATTAAAAGATTAGCTTTTATATTTTGTATTTTAAAACTGAATGGCACATTCTGTGGCACAGACTAAATATTCAGGTCAAGAGACTTCAAGGTTCAAACATAGCCATCCCTATTTTAGAATTCTAATCAGATGGAGAGCAACCAGTCAGTAACGCCCACCACCTAGATGGCTAATTTTAACTGAATTGAAGGACTGACTGTCACTTTTATTATGTGTCCATAGCTGAAAATATGGAGTGTGTTAGCAACATACTGAGGACATACACCTTGGACCTTCCAGTTCTCAATCCGGCATGCTACACACCAGTCCATGCCTTCTCATTGGGATTTTTTCATTTTCTACAGTTAGGAAATGTGAACTTTCCCAAATCTGGAAACATGTTTTATTTGTTTGTTTATGTTTTATTATACTTTTCTTATAATAAATATTTGTGTGTTTGTGTGTTTCCTTCTTTAAACACTCGACATTTTTCACATCATGCAGTTGTATAATGTGCATTTGCCTTAAATTAATATACACCATAGGTTTTTAGAGTACAAGATGTCTCAACTCACAAGCATTTATTTTCTTTGTATAAAATATTTAATAAGTAAGATAAATTTTTATCATTAATGCATGCTTTAAGTTATATAATTATTACTGATAAAAAGCTTACCAAGTATAAATATGAAATATATCACAGAACAGTTAGCCTGTTTTTTTAAAACTACCTTTTTTTTTAAAGATGTCTTAGAATAAATAATATATAAATGGATAAAACTATTATTAGGCACAAACACTGTTTTGTTTTTTAACAAATCAACTGCAATATTATTAAATAGAAAAAAATATTTTCAATCTTGTTATTCTTATGCAATATTGAAAATAACATGGAGAAAATTATCACAGTAGTTTGGATGATTTTTATCAGAAATTTTACACAGTTGTAAAACTGGTTTATGGTTAACATTTCACTTTGGTGAAGCATACATCTGCACATATTTGAACTTAATTCACCCTCATCTCTGTGTAATTATTTTCTACCTAAAGTTACCCGTAATGAGCAGAACATTTCTATATCTTAAGCAATTTTTAGTGTTCTTAATTTTGAAAATAAATCTTTGCACAAAGCTCCTTTTTACATCTTTAACTACACTTCTATGAGGTACAGCATATGACACTTGTAAATACAAGTACTTTCAGAAAAATGTAAAAGAAATAATATATCATCATAGTATGTATATTTAATAAATTGGTGTTATAAATGGAGCATTTTATTGTTATAAACCAAACATTTGAATAACTTGTAACTCAAAAAAAAAACTGTAGTTTCTACAACAAGTTTAAATATAAAGAAGTGTTTAACAACATTGAAAAAAAAGTGATTGCTGGGAGTGGACTAGTGGCCAGTGTGTCGAATTGTGAACCTGAAAGTCCAAATTTTTTACTATGATGGCACAAAATATGCTTGCATTTTTAGCTGTTGGTGCATTATAAGAATGACAGTCAATGTTATTATTTGGTCATATTTCAAAACTAGGAACAGCTATACCTGAACTGTAGGAGTGTCTGACCTGGCCATTTAGGTGGAAAATAATACTTTTGAAAAGTGTACAAGGAAGATATTTTTGGGGTCTAACCAATACACACAAAAATGTTGAATTTCTAATTAACTTGTTCATGAGCACTGATGTGCAAGTATGCACAATTTCAAATATTAATAAACACCAGTAATGTTTTTTAATAGAAAGACACATTTATAACTTGAATGTTCCAACATTTTAACAAAATCATATCAAAGAGGTAAAATCTTTAATAGTAAATATTTTTGGAAATTTTTTGAGCTAATGATCTTCCAAAAAAAGAACAAAAAATTATTGAGGAGAAACCACAAACCTATGTGATAGGTGGAGAGAGTATGGTTAGCAGTTACTTGTATATAAACAGACCTTTGAAGGTCTTTGTTGTAGCATTGGAATTATATTTAAGTTTTCCTATCAGGAAATCACATTTTGTTTATCCTTTTGTTTATATGTTTATTAAACAAGAGGAACATGTAAATTATAAATACAAATGTATATCTACATATGTAATTTATTATCTATTTATTTCTTACTCTCATTTTATATATATATATATATATAAAATTGCCATGTTTAAATCAGCTTATTTCTTCTGACTTTTCTATTTTTTCTTTCTTTGTTCTTTCTGCTGTCCTGAAGGACCCAAGATGGCCCAAAGTAAGGAGGCCCACTCTCCTTACTCTCTTAGTTTGCTGTATGGTTGCTGTCTGTCTGTTTGTCTGTATTCTGTTGGTTCTACAGTTGGATGGGAAATGGGCAGTTATAAAATCTTGTTGTTTGTGTTTGTCTCAGAGAATGTCTTAAAGTACCATCAGACTTTGTCAGCATGATTTTGACATTTGTTCTTCAGTTATTCTCGTTTTAATGTAGTTTTGTATTAATTCTATCTTTCTTTTGGAATGGTTTATTCTGTAACAATCAACCTTCTTTAATTTGGAGATGTAATATTTGTTTTCTGTTTGTATGTGTAATTTTTTTTTGTTTTTCTGGTGACTGACTGACTTTAGATTAACCTTTTTTTTTACCCCCAAGTTCATGTGAAATAAATGTAGTAATAATATAGTAAATAAGCAAAAACTGCATGTTTGATTGTTTTATTCCTCATGTTTTTCAATATATATATATCATAAAATTGTGATTAGAATGTGTGATACTAATTCTTAGTATTTGAATTATTTAATATGTACTTCAAGTTTTAGTTTGGTAAGTTTATCTTATGTCCATTACAGCATGTTTTTTGTCATGTCCCATTTTGCGTCATGGAAAATGTTTGATAATTTGTGCATGTTAAAGTAATGTTGCCCTATATTTTATACTGGTTGTGTCCTCAAGTGTTTTAATCTTACTGTATGTCGTACCATAATATAATGCACTCTGAAAATAATTTAACTAAACATTAGGAATAGAATCAAATAATTATAATTGAAGCTCATTTCTATTAGATGTATATGTGACAATATAGAAATTACAACTAAAAAAAGTGTAGTTGTTTACTTCCAAAGGATTGAATTGATTTCCTTAAACATACCATCAATATCTAAATTTATTATTAAACATAATGGAAGAAAAAAGATATTTAGCACAGTGCAATGTCAAATGTCCGAGTTCATTTAGTATGCTTAATATTGAACATGATTATTTTGTTCTGTAGACCAAAGATAATCATGACATTTGTTGATCTGTTATATTTCAATGTTTTGCTTTGATTCCACCAAAAAGAATTACCTTAGCATATCTAAATATTATTAATATTTTATCCAGTTTAAAGATAATGCAGGTCATAGCTAGCTTATGATTTAAGTATAGTGAGTAATGAGCCTTTATTAGTTGCATGTGGCTGGTGTTTCTGAATGTTACTTTACAATAAGTTGCCAAATAATGGGTAAGCTTATGTTTTCTTTACAGATGTGGACAATTTGCTACAGAGAATGACAATTATTGGTGTTATCATGTGCTTCAGTTCATTGGCTCAGGAAGCACTAAATGATGTAAGTGTGAAAGACTTTGTTTATAAGTATTATATCAAAAGTTACTATACGTATATATGTATTTATTTTTATTCCTTTTTTTATCTTGCAATTATAAGATCTAAAATGCATCTAAAATAACAACTATCAAATATGTTCTATTAAACCTCTTGCTACGGGTAGGTCATAGTGCGCATGTCACTACCTTTTAGAAAATTACATTCAAAATTTAATCAAACTACTTTATTATCAATGTATACAAATGAAATTGACATCAAAAAGTAGTTAATAAATAAAATGTTATAAGTTTCAAGTTCTTATAAGGAAATACTTTACAAAATCCTCAATCTCCACTACTAAGAGAATTGTAACATTTGTTCTCTAGGTCTTCTCCCTTCTTTAATTTATTTACCACTCCTCAGAAATATGGAATTTAATGTAACTTACTCATTATAGTATAGATATTACTAGGGCAAAATTTAATTTTTATAGCCTTCAATCTTATTTTGTTACAGTCATAAACTAGCAAATTAAACCCATTTGCCGTGCTCATCTGTAACATCCACTCTTTCACAAATTGCTGATAGTTCTCTCTGATGTTTTATACTATATTATTTATAACCAATAGAAATATGAAGTTTTAATCTATCAGAAAGATGTATTACATATTGTTGTTTTCAGTATAGAGTATTGTCTATTTTGTCTTCAATTTGAAAGTTTCTTGTTGCTCAGATTGAGAAGCTTAAACAATTATTTTAAAGCTCTTACGCTGTAGTTAGCAAGTCAGTTTAATTATGATAGTTATAGGAGATTGTTTGCTTTGTGTGTGCTATTTTTCTGTGTATTATTTAAGTAAATGGAAGTTTTTTAGTGCACTAGAGCCATTAGTATAAAAAAAAATTTGGCTTAAGTTTCATCGGCAACCGAGAACAAAAAACGAGGGAAAGGTAAGTACTATATTTCTTGTTTTTCATGTTTATTCTTTATTTTTTCTTATAAAAGTAACTAAAATATAAAAATTAGAAACTTTTTAAGTTAGATAAGGTAAGATAATGAAAACTAATAGTAATAATAAAAATTCTTCGCAAGGTATGCTCACAAGGAGATCAAGTGCTACGTCATTCAATAAAGTAACATGAGCTATGCATTGCCAAGTGATTTACCACTTGTATGGTAGGATTATTAGGTAGACACAGTTTAAAGGGCAATAAACCATAAAATTAAGTATAAACATATGTATACTGTTATGAGCCTTAAGCTATTTAAGATAAACAAATGTAGTTTCCTGTTACAATCTGCAGTCATTCTAGAAAGAAGAAAAGGGTAATTTAGATTTATTTCATTTTTTTTTTTTTATAATGTTTACAAGCTTGGACAAATTAATAGTTCATATAGAGTTAGGGTAGAAAAAATAACAAAATATAAAGTTAGCTTAGTTACTGTAGTTAGCTCCTGTTTCCAGGTTTATTTCCAGAAGAGACACTTTTTCACAACATTGTTGCCTAATCCATTCCATGAGAACGTTATCTAAATCATCACACTCATAGAACTCTCATCTAGCCTTTTCAACATGATTACTAGTGCTACAAATACCAAAAAATGGCAAAAATGATGGGGATAGAGTGGAAGATAATGAAGCATGGGTACACAACCAAAACAAAGTGCCAAATTGACAACTATTCTGGTGAGCCACCAGACAAAATGGCACGCACTTAAAGATTTAATTTTACAGTAAATTTCACAAAAAACTGCCGGTTTTTGGAGAATCTCAGTTTTTAGGTCACCAGTTTTGAGAGAATCAACTTGTATCATGAAAATGTCTCTAGTATGATAATACACAGATATGTTGCAAAGCAACTTTAAGTATTTTATTATTGTCTTACCCAAAAAATTACACTCACTTGATTTCTGTAAATATGCTCGATAGATTTTGACCATTTTGATATCTTTTTAAGAATGGTAACTGGTTTATAAACAAAAACTTTTTCCTTGCACTTTCTAATGAGGCAATCTCTAGTTGAAAACCACATTAATTCATTGATATGGCATAACTTGCCAATATGGTGTTAGTAATTTAATGTATTTATTAAACATGTTAAATAAAGAGATGTTACTTTTAGGAAGGATAGAAAAATAAGATTCTTTGTTTGTGTTTATGATGAGTTAATCACATTGTTAAGGGCAAAAATGAGTATGTTGATATAGTGGTGTGTCAATGCTAATGCAAGCCTTGGCATCATATATGGCATACTTAGCAGTTATTTGGTTTATAATAAATTCCCAACTATTCAACAGCGTAATGTTGTCACAGGTAGAACTTACTGCAAGAGGAGTAGTAAAATAGCAGGGAAGTGTAAATGCCAATTTCAAAAACTAATATCTATAGTTTAATAAATACTATCAGTAAAGGAAGATCAGCACACCTATTTGAGCATCTTTAAGACACAGAACTGCTCTTAACATTGCCAAAGTGCTATTGTCCAGAAAGTGATTGCTAATAAATTGCACGTATCCATTCAACTGTACAGAATATAAACCATAAGAATCATACCTTTGTAAACAAGCATATACCATAAGTGCCAATAAACTGGTGATAGAAAGAAAATATATAAAACTACAAGAAAACCTTTTACGGGAGAGAGATGGAAATGTATTTGAATGATTGCAACAAGAAATAGGAATTTTCTAACAATCAAGTGGCATTAAGGTCTTTCCAATATGATAAAGTACGTTTCTTTTATCAGGCTTTTTAGTTGCCACAGGTTTCTAATTTCATGAGAAATTTAAACTTTACAAAGTATACATCAAAGAATAACCTTAAGCATGTAACATGATGCTTTTTCATTCTTGCCATACTAGCCATACAGTGCAGGAATTTCATCTCCAATTATTGTTGGCAACACATGATAGCATTGTGAGTCACTCTTGATAGAGGTTCTATAAAACAGTGTATAACAAAATCAGTGTCCTTACTGTCACTCTTCTCTAGAGTACACGTGAAACCACCTGAATGTGCACCTATGGACTTCTGTCCATTTGATAACCTTAAACATGGCCTTGGAAACAAAGATTCATGTGCAGTGTAGATTCTGTGTAAAGTCTGTCAAGGTGTATGGTGTAAGATTGACCTCAACATCTTTTACAGAGGTTTGTTACAATGAAATTGCAGTGTCAGGTAATGTGTAACAATAATGGTCACTAGACTTGAGCATGACTGACAGTAGAAGTAATTCTAAGGGGAATGCAGGACCAAGAAAGTGTCTTCATAAACTGTGATTAATTCTATATAAATATCTGTTGTTTAGTATATTGTGTAAGCAGTGACTTAGAGAAAGCATGCAATTTTTAAATTTGACAGTAAATGTCTTTGAAACTCAATTTGTAAAAGTGCACTTTTAGTCCTAGAATTCAGTGTATCCTAATTTTTTACCATTGTGGAGCAGCCAGTTCTGATTGTAAAATGTCAAGGATAACTTCATACAATATTAACTTTTTAAAGTATTTTTAGATTATTTAAATTATCTTGTAAAACAATATACTTCAATAGCTATATTTTAAACACTTTTTTTTTTTCAACTGTCTTGAGGACTGGCAGCTGGGAATCACTGTCCTAGACAATTTTCTTTTTTAATCAGGCTCTTTTGTTTTTGCTATGAATTTTATATATATATCCTGAGCCATGTAGTGCCTGGTTCAACAGTGCAGCTTCTTTCAAATGTTAAATTTGTTTTTAGTACAGTAACCAGATATTGTACAGTCATAATCTTGACACTGGAATGCTGTTGAGGAAATGTTCTTTTTCAATGTTCAGTCTAAAAGATACCAGTAAACTAATAAGTTGTACTCTCTGCTCCTCAGCTATCTTTCAACACATTACAAAGAAACATTGAGGAATGTGCAGATGTGATGTAATACTTACACACACACACATGCATTAAAACCTGGTTTGATTGAATTATTAGTTGTATTAACTAAGAGATAAAATAATTAGCAATAATTTTAATGATGAATGTGTAACTTTGTTTTCTTAACAATGTAATGCCTTTTAACTGTGCCTTTTATATCATTATTAAGAATAAGCCAACTTGATGTTGCTTTATATGTTGCTTATTCAAATTATGTGTATTCTGAATGTTAGTCTTTCTGTATTCCAAATTCTTTAGATGGAAAGACTGATTGTTTGGTTTGATTTTAGTGGGAGAAAATGGCTGCCTGAAAAGCAAATTTTAATTCACTGCTATACGATGCAATTAGTATAAATGTGGTAGTTTATTCATTAGTGTAATTGACTTAAAAGACACTGAAGTGAAGATGTGTCTTCCAAGAAGCAGCCTTAGTCAGTTTTTTCCCAGTAATACCTCTTGAGATTTTTTTCTCAGAAACGATATAAGCACATGTTTAAGAAATAGCAGACTGAGAAAAGAATATAATGTTGTTTTAATCAATGTTATAAACTTTCAATTGATAAACACAGTAAAGCTTTTATTCGTATTCAGGTGCTAACAGAAAGAATCCCTTTCCTGTTGAGTTCCATCCAGGACTTCAAAAGTCATTCTTTAAATGGAGATCTAATTGTAAGTAGTATTTTAAGCTTATTGTTGTACTTTTTAGACATTAAAAGTTATCTTGCCTAAATATTGCAAAACTTTTGTTTTCCAAACCTCATGTAATTCAAGGATTAAAGAGAGTGAGAAATAGCAGTTGAGCTTTATGTATAAAAACTTGAGTGCTTCGTTTTTTATCTATACAATCACGAATTGACATCTGTTTTGAAAGTTGATACTTTGTTGAAGAATTGCAAAGAAACATTGAACACTGATAGAAATTTCTAATCTACATCATTTATGATTAATATACTTCTTATAGTAAATTTTATATATATAACACACAACTACCATGCCTGTTATAAATTTTATAGTCATGGAAATTTCACTTTTCTTGCTTTCATTGATGTTAAATCATACACTGATTGGTTCAAGTCAGATTTTTATGCAAGTTCATTCTTGATGAAAAAAAAAAAAAAAAAAAAAAAAAAAAAAAAAAA